ACAACACTGTGCCATGACTTTTATAACCATGAAAGAATGTCTCTGAATAAGGCTCACTGTGTTTAATCTGAACACATGGACTTTTCTAAGGATGGATTTACTCACCAATGGCTTCTTTAAAGGTGTGCCAACAACTTCCTGTATGGTATTTATTCCTTATATATCATATCATTTCTGATTGGTTTGAATGTATACACTGTCATTCAAAAGTTTGGTAAGATTTTTTTTTTTTAGACAAGTACAAACAGTATTGTCAAATATTGTTAGAATTTAGAACTGTTGTCTATTTTAGCATTTAAAAAAATAATTTTCAGCAGCCATTACTGCAACCATCAGTGTCACATGATCCTTCAGAAATCATCCTAATTTGGTGCTCAAGAAGCATTTCTTGTTCATATCAATGTTAAAAACAGTTGTGTTGCGAAATATTTTTGTGGAAACATCGATACATTTTTTACAGGATTCTTTGATGAATATAAAGTTAAAAATAACAGCACTTATTTGAAATACATTTTTTGTTACAGTGTAGAAGTCTTTAACCAAAAGTACTAATATCTTTAAAAAAAAAAAATCATACTGATTCCAAGCTTTTGAACAGCAGTATATAATATAAACCAAGTATTATCTGCATCAACTCACTTCCATACTGGATTCTATTTACTCAATACAGTTATTTCTGTGAGTGAATGTATTATGTATAGCATCAGTAACATTGAATTGTGCTGTAAACCACAACTGGGGGCTCATTTTAAGACCTTTTTAGTTATATATTATATTAAAAGTATATTTTAGGGTCCAAATGTATAAAATTAATAGTAAAATTTGGCTGGTAATTTATTGATTACCAGGGCTTTTTTTTGGCAAAATTACCTGCAGTAATTGTTTAGAATTTTCAAGAGGAAAACAACAATATATTGTCATTAGAGCAGCAGAATGCAGTTTCTTTGCTTGTAAGACATATTTATGGCCATAAAACTTTCTCAATTCACCCATCAGTAAATTTTTTGTCTTTAGTTAAGCGTTGGCATGTGGCAGGTTCCTGACACAAACATCTCCACCTTTAAGCATCCACACAGCCAGTACCTTTATAATGAAGCAGAATAACAACCATCTGTGGTCAACAACTCAACCATCGGTGTCAAATGTGTATGTTTTATCTCAGTCATAACTATCTGGCATGTGTTTATAGTGCTGTCTTACCCACTGTCCCTTTCGCAGGGTTTTGGTTAATAGTTATACAGTAAGAAATACTCAGGTGAGAGAATGAAATCTCTCACTTTCAGTTTGAACACGAATATCGCCTAGCCATCCCAGGAATCGCTTTAGTATCATCCTGCTCTCTCTTTATCGGCAGGGATAGATCGATCTCAGCAGAGAGAGTGTGGAGTCTGCGACTTTGAATCCAGAGAAAGAGTATTTGCTTAGACTTTGGCAAAGAGCCTTCTGGGAAAAAGCGAGCTTTTGATCTAGTCCTGATGTGGTTGGAACAGTCTCTACCCTCCAGTGAGGCTTTAATGAGAGCTGATGTTTAAACCCCATGGGCTTGGGTCTTGATGCAGAGTTTAAATAAGAAAAGGCACAAGTGAAACACACTAGCCTGATGAAGTGGACGGTGATGTCATTGATATGGAAACTTTTGCTGTGGCCAAACACAATGTTTAGAGCTTTGCTTAGGGTCACAAAATGAGCTCATAGTGCAGTTTCCCTTACGTTCCTGGCGTGCCTTGTTCTCAATGTCCAACAAGCCTTTTATATACCTTATTTAAACCTTATTTTAAAGCCAGGACTTGATTGATTGACTCAAAAATTAATAGCCAGAATCACCACTCTAGATTACATTAATTAACCTTAATTTATGTGATGTTGCTATTTAAAATTGAAGCTCTTCAATGTGTATTTTCATCAATGTGTTAACTGTCAATGGGATTTTTGGTCTGTTTTAGAGTAGGTTCTAACGATTTATGTACTTTGTTTTTATGTTTTGTTATTTTGTTTTTGTTTTGTTGCTTATGAATATCTATTTATGTCATCAGCGATCAAGCTCTCAGTCCTGCTCTCTGCAGCTTTATGGTTTGCGCCAACATTTTTGGTCCTAAATCGCTGATATTTTCAGCAAACACTGAATCTTCTGATCCTTGTGGCCTCACCTGTAATCCCACTTAACCAGCACTCCAAGACTTGTGCATGGAGAAGGATTGAGAATCAAGATTTCCTCTCAAAATCCCCGTCAGGAGATTGGCTCCGAGTTCAGGGGCATCATTCTGTTTATCCCGCTGAATCCTGACTCTTATTATTCTTCCACGTCTGCTGACAGTTTAGCTCAAACCTTCATGATGAGGATGTTTTAAGGACACACTCTCCCGTTGACCTGTATTAAATAGATTTTTATTGCAATGGAGTTGTTTTTTTTTAGCCATATTGTTTTTGTTTTTTCTAAATGGCAAATTTGAGGAATTGCAGAATCCTCAGCACTTAGAATGCATGTTTTCATGTTTGTGTTATTTAAAAAGATTAAACGTTAATGCACTCGTGCCTTTGTGCAAAAGAAGAGTTTTTGAATATGTAAATATTTTAAAACTGATCATGCATAGCTCTTATTTTGGTGTGATTCGTTTGAGTGAAGTTCGAATATGTGGAATTCATTTCTTGGAAAGAGCCTGCAGCTCCGGTTTCAAGTACATCAGAATGGACATAGCTTTCCCATTACATTTATATACACAAAACATTGTGTGTAACGTTTTATTGTGTTGCCTTGACAAAGCCAATGTACTGTACTATTATACTGTACACACTTATGTTAACATCCTAGAGCATTCAAACTACATCCAGCAGACCCATCACAGTCCTTCAGACTGTTCTCACTTCTTTTCAAACTGCACTGTAAAAAATGACCGTGAATTTAACGGTAAAAGACTGTAAAAATGCTACAGTAAAAATCTGTTAAATAGTTAACGGTAAATTCCCCTACTATATATGGTGAAAAACTGTATTGGACATTACATGTATTGGACATTAATTTTACGGTAGTATACCGTTTTTGGAAGTGAAAAAGACCGTATAATTTACAGTGAATAACCGTAAATTGACATTCCCAGGATTCCCTGCGTTACATTTCATATTTGATGTTTTTGTGTTGAAATAACTGTTTCTTCTTAGTTTTTCCTTATCAGTTTTGTATATTAGGGTTGTGTGTTACACCTAATGTTGTTAAATTAATGTTTATTGCATTATTTCAGTTTCATGTGTGTTACCATGATGGTGTTTAGTGTTTGTGTGAATAACACTGTGCACCTTCTATATATGTTATTATTTAAAAGCTGCTTGTGATGAGCTTTGGTTCATCGTGTGACTTTCTCATCACCATCTGCATTTGGTGGTTATCAGTGTATTACAAAGGTACAAAACAGATTTCAGTACTTCAATAGGTTGGTATATTAACATTATATCAGTTAATGAAATTACGGTATTTAACTGTAAATTTAAGTTAAAACCGTAAAACCTAAAACGTTGCTACTGTATTTTTTACGGTAAAATTCCGGCAACCACAGCTGCCGTTTTTTTACCGGAAATTTTACTGAATTTTTTTTAGTGTGGACTTGCTTGATTTCCCAAGACAGTTAAATATCCTGTAGATTTTAACTGTATTTCCTGACTTTTCAAGCTATGAATAAACTACCTACAAAAGACTTAAACTTCTAGTGAACCTTCAAACTTTCAGGCCAACATTCAACCAAATCTGTAGCGTCAGCTGAGAGTGTTAAGCACACAGAATATGCGCAGATCATTAATGCCCCAAATGTTTGAGAATGAGCCCTACATTCACTGTGTAACTTCTGATCCATTCTATGTAGTTTTGACATTGATCGGGCTTCAACAGTGATTATGTGTTTGAGAGAAAAAGGGAATGCATTCTTCATCTCCAAGCTGTCTGAAACAGCTTGTTAGCCAGAGATGATTATGTGAATGATTTATGCATTCAATGTCCTCTTGATTTGGTGTTTTTTAATCTTTCTTATCATGCTTGATTTTTATTCTGTACTGGCCATAGCAAAAATAATTATTTTTCATTGCTTTGATTATGTATTGTGTACAGATTTGTAATTGACAAAGTGTTGAAAATCATGACAATTTTTGTACCGTCTTTGAAGTAGAAGTGTAGCTAAGCTCACTGGCCCTGTTTTAATAAAGGAATAGCATTTGTGATTTTGCAAATTATGCAGTGTTCATTTGTACACATAATGATCATGTCAATATAAAACAACACCGTTTAGAAGTGTAATTCAGAATAGATGTACAGTATGGAAGATAAAATATTATCAGTGTATTCTGCAGTTCTGCAGACCAGACATTGGTTCACTTTATTCAAGGTGTTCATTCAAGATGGTGTTATTTTAATTTCATGTAATCAACATAGTTGCAACATTTTACATGTAAAGATGGGTAAAAAGAAACATTAATAACAGCTCTGTGATGTTTCAATGTTTTTATTACTCCACTTGTCTGTGTTCACAGTGATCCAGAAGCAAAGAGGGGTTTTTGAATGTCAAAGCGTCAGTGTTTTCTCTTGTGAAGATTGCTTGAAGCAGGTTTCTCTCACTAGTGAGGAAATGTGAAATGGAGTGGAGCTGGAGTAATTATAGAACACTGGTAAGTCTCCATCCATTTCAGTTCTGCTTTCCTTTTTAAACGTGAGTTATTAAAGGGATAGTTCACCCAAAAATGAAAGTTCTGTCATCATTTGCTTACCTTCCACTTGTTCCAAACCTGTATGAGTTTCTTTCTTCTGCTGAACACAAAATAAGATATTTCGAAGAATGTTGGTAACCAAACAGCTGACGGTAGCCATTGACTTCCATAGTATGAAAAACAAATACTGTAGAAGTCAAAGGCTACTGTCAACTGTTCATATGTTTTTGGGTGAAGTTACACCAAATACACAAAATAATGATCTTTAAAAAAAGCATCATATGACCCCTTTAACTTCTTGTTTACGGAACTGTTGTATAAAAGCAATATCACACAGTCATGCTCTTGGTCTGAATATGAGCATGGTTTTGATACATGTGGCACTCCTGCCTACAGACATGTCAGACAGACCAGCATCATGGTTGCCCCTGTGATATTTCTCAAATGTATATAATAAAAGACTATTTTCTATTGATACTGTTTTTTTCATATATGGGCTGCACATTTATTCATTAATTGACAGGTGAGATGATCAATGGGTCAGAGTTTTTACCATCGTTGTTTAATGCTGGGCAAAAATATGGATAGCGTTTCCCATTAAAGGTCTGGCCAGTGAAAGAGTAGATATGAGACCTTGTCTCCACGTCATAAAAGGAGACCAAACCTTCCTCATAATCCACAAACACCCCCACCTTCTGGGGCTTCACTCTCGGAGAGAGTACAGACATGGAATTTACAAGTGCCTTGTATTTATTCCCATTTCTCAGTCGTATAGCCCAGTATCCATTCTGAGGTCTCAGAGTGATTCTCCCTTTCCTTGTGACAGATTCTCTGGCCACTCCTAAATTCCAAGCAGTCTTCTTCATCACCTGCACTTCAAAATAAAATCTCCCTGAGGAGAATACTTCCTTTCCCAGTATAAAGATGCAATGATCAAATCTCTTCAGGTTGTCTGGGACGTCATGCTTAATGTCTCCATTGCTCACTTGTTTTCCATCATCAGACAGGATGAGTTCAGGCTGAGCAGTATCAGGATCCAGAGTCACATCCACTGCGAGAGAAAGAATATCAGATTTTGATGTATTTAAAGAGTGTAGTGAGTTTATGAACTTAAACTGTTTGTGACAGTGAGAGATCTGTGCATATTACACATTATACCTGCATATAAGCGCATCCTCTTAAGCTCTGTGGAGACAAATGATGATAAAAGATGATCATTTGATTGTATAACTTTTTTTTTTCTTACAGAAATTATTCTCCCATTCCTACTCTTTTATCTCCATGATGTCATTTTGTACTTTGTGCATCTTGTTGTGGTATTTTAAAAACTATTTTGTAAAAAACAATGATACATTCAGATTTTATACTCTAATTATAATTTATCATTTTGCTGCTGGAATTTGTGACATAAGGCTTGTTAAGTTTGATTTCTCCCTTTATTTCCTTCAGAAAATTGTAGAGCAAAAAAAAACAAACAAAAAAAAAAACACTTTATATGCTCTCCAGTTGCTCAAACAGTACAGCATGATACTAACAAGTCATGAATTGACTTCCCAGGTAATGCAAGAACTGATAAAATGGCAAATGTATAAATATAAATTTGATATTCAATTACCGGTTTCACTGAGTTTCTCATCTAGAGTCTGCTGCAGCTCAGTCAGAGCTGCTCTGATGGTGTTCAGACTCACAGGAGTGTTAACACTGATATCAGTCCACTGCTTAGTGTTGAAAGGTCTGCATATGGATGGGTAACTTTACAGGAAGAAAAAGGAGAAACTTTTAATATTAGGAACAGAGTTGTTCTGTGATGTTCTACATTTCAATCGAGCATAGATATAGAGGACACAGACCTGTATGAGTTGGAGGTGATCTTCAGTGTGTGAGAGCTGCTCCTGCTGCAGCTCTTCAATGGGCTCTTCTTCCTGTTCCTCTGCCGCTTTCTGCTTCTCCTCCATCTTTTCCAGCAGCTCAGCCTGACATTTCTCAATGGAGAGCATCAGAGCAGTGAAGAGCTCAATGCTGCCCGCTTTCTCTTTCTCCATGCTTTGCTAAAAAAGATCAATGAACAGATTCCATTTTTATTTGCAATGTAACATCTCGATTTATAAAGCAAATCAAACCATTATGATAAATACAAATATCAATATATTTTTTATACTCACTTTTCTGAGTTCTCCTGAATGTTTGATGTCTTGAATCTTCTTCATTCTGCCCTGGATCATCTGCTGCACGTCTGTTTGTATCTTCATCACTTGAGTCTATAAACATAGATGGACACACATATTTGATCACTTATAGATTTTCCATCGTTTGAAAACAACAACAAAGAGGTTTATTGTTCAAAAGTTTTTTTATAATATTTGTTGTAACTCATGCCTTCTTCTCCTCACTCTCCTCCTCCAGAGGAACAGTGTTGTGGTTCTTGTGGTCTGTCACAGTGCAGCTCGGACACACAAATGTCTGATCATCTCTACAGAACAGCTCCAGAGGTCTCTCGTGTTGCTCGCATATATAGTCCTCCAGATTTTCAACAGCATTTATCAATTTGTGTTTTTTTAATCGTGGGACTCTGTGATGCGGCTCCAGGTGAGTCTCACAGTAAGAGCTCTGACACATCAGGCAGGTCTTCAGGGCTTTCAGCTTTCTATCATCACAGATGTCACAGAGCACTTCAGATGTTGTCACACCAGACTTTTCTTTAAAGTGCTGCACGACCTGCCTGAGCGCTGTGTTGATCTTGAGGTCTGGTCTTTTACTGAATGTTTCTTTACAGAATGGACAGGAGCAATCCTCACTTTTGTCCCAGCACTGGTTCAGGCAGCTCTTACAGAAGTTGTGTCTACATGGAGTGGTGACTGGATTGGTGAACACATCCAGACACACAGAACACTGAAGTTCCTCAGTTAGAGGACCACTTGAGGATGCCAGGTCTGAAAAGTAGACAAATGATGAAAAGATTGCATACATTTGTGAACACTTGTAAAAATATACAGAAATTAACAAATCCTTCTTTCCCTTATATGTTTTGTTACTGACTTACATGGAGGTATTTCTATACTCTGTCTCCTGGCCTCTCTTTGTTTCAGTAGTGTTGGTAAAGATTCTGCCATTGCTCTTTAGACCTTTTTAGGAAAAAGTCTAAACACATTTAACACACATTTCACAGAATAAATCACAACCCTAACAGCTGATTTTAAAGAGTGCAAATCATGCTCATTACCTAGTAATGAGAAAAAAAACAAGGACCTTGTATAGAGTTCTTAAGCTTTGCATTTTCTATTAGAGTAAAGTTACAATTATCAAAAACGATAGTGTTTTGGCATTTCTACTCTGCCAAAATCAAAATAGACCTATATTAATCGCCATATCAAAATACACATTAAGTCGTTTCATCTCATATAAGCAATACTATTTTGGATAGTGAAATTGACCTCGAGTAACACATTTTTTATGAAACAAAGCTATGGACAAATACACACATAGGCCTACAGCAGCCAAATTCTGGGCAGAAGTCAAAAGGGTAGTTTTCAGTTTGTTTACAGGCCTAATCACGATTGACACCTGCACTTTTAATAGATTTTTTTCTTTTTTAATTATGATTTAAGCAAAACAGAGAAAACTTAGCTGCTAGATATCACTCAATACACATGTCCAACAAACACTGCATAATTACAAACCACTGCTGTATTTGAATGTCTGCAGTTCATATACTGCCTGTTTCCGATCGTATGACATATTTTACATATTTTAAAGCATATGAAAAATACATATGCAAAATTTTTTTATCTTCACACCTCCGCTAAACATTTGTCTATTACAATAAACAAACCAACCTGCCTATATGACGAACACTGATTTTAGAGTAGTATAAATACTGACTGATGTGATTTTCACTACAATCGATCATTTAAACGAAAGATGGTGCAAGTTGCGTTTGTATAAAGTTTTTGTATAAAGCGTTTGTATGAAACTAGAAAACAACGCGTCGGCGGCGTGATATAAAATATAAGAGTGATGAATGCGGCCATACCAATCAGATTCAAGCATTCTAGTTTAATATTGGCTACTGTGGATTTTTTCTTATATCTTACAGAGTGGTCAAGTCTTGGATTACGATTTGTTAGTTCTGTCTTTGCTTCACTGAGAAAATAAATAAAATAAAAATAAAAAATCTGTGTGGAAACCAACCCAAGCATCAACTTTTTTTTAAAGGGGTCATATGATGCTGCTAAAAATAACATTATTTTGTGTATTTGGTGTAATGAAATGTGTTTATGCGGTTTAAAGTTTAGAAAACACATTATTTTCCACATACTGTACATTATTGTTTCTCCTCTATGCCCCGCCTTTCTGAAACCCGTCGATTTTTACAAAGCTCATCGGTCTGATTGGGCGGCGTTATGCAAATCTTCCCACATCGTGACGTAGACATGTGGGGGCGTGTTAGAACGAGCCGTTTTAGGTAAGCGTGGTTGACTCTTAACTTTTATAAAGAATATCTCTTTGGATTTGAGACTTTAGTCTTTGCAACTTTACAGATCTTCTTTATGCACCAAGAGCTTGTAACACTTCAAAGAGAAAGGAAAAATTGAAATCGCATCATATGGCCCCTTTAAATGTCCCAACTGTTGTGATTTCCAGAGGGCTCTAATGTCACTGTCCACTAGAGGGCAGCACTAAAACACTTTAAAAGGAACAACAACAATGTGCTCCCTGAAAAGAAAAAGATTTTGTTATCTTGCTATCAGTCGTGAAGAAACTTAATTTTTACATTGAGCATGACGAAGAGTGAGTATAGTCAAGACATTACTTGTTGTCTCTATGTTGGTTTTCGAGGTTATGTTGCATAACCTGCTATGCTACTGAATGTTGTTGTAATACTGTGAAATCCAGTTGTCCTCAGGTAGGGTTTATAGCCAGGCAGTGGCCTTCTTTAGTCTTTCTTACACAGCACAGTCAGTCTTTCTGTTTTAGAGTGACACACTCCATTCTTAGACTGCTGTCCCACTTTAGCTTTTAATGAAATCAGAAATAGTATTCCCTCTCCTCTCCCTCTCTTACCTCTGCTGCACATTTTGTCCAAAACAGCAGCTGGCAACACAAGCTCCACTGAACACAATTAATCAATTTCAGGCCTATAAGGCTGTACTTCTGGCCAATAAATCTCAATAATAGAAGTTTAATCACTCGACTTACTAGGAATTCACAAATAAAATGTATTGACATTCATGGATGATGTTTTAAGTGACAGAACAGGGAACGTGTTAGAAATGTTCATTTTCTAGATGAGAATTATGGTGGCAGTGAGAAGAGAGGGTGACTAGATCATCTTTTCTGATTATGTAACTGCAATAATAGGATGAATTCATACACGTTTAGACATTTCCTGTTCACTTTGATCCAATCAAACATCTCCAAACTCATTGGATGTGGCTTCATTATGCAATAACACCAACACAATGCTATTTTAATCAAGGAGATTTTGAAATAAAAAAGAGCCTTTTTCCTTAAATCAGACAGTCTGTCTTCCATCACTGAATACAAACTATCTCTGTTTGGGAACTAGGCAAAAACAGCTAAATTGGAGTCACCATCCACCGTTTCTTACTTAAAGTTTGAAATGATGTAAAGCCTCCAGAAAGACAGAAATTCCCACATAAAACATGATCGTTAGGGATTATTTGATATAAATCTGTGTTAATCTTCTGTCTTTGGCCTGGGTCTCTATGCACGATTTTTCTCATCCTCCTCACGCGTGGTGTATGAGTGTGTGTGGAGGTGGATTACACATAAAAGGGTGACCCCGTAGACTTGCTGTGAAAGGATGAGGTCATGTTTATCTGGGACACTAATCTCCCCCTGTGCTCGGGTGATTTCACGCTTCACCAGGGACACTGTGGGATCAAGAGGGATTCCAAGGTTTCGGCACTTACCTGTCTGGGATGCTCATTAATGAGGACAGGAAAGCATACAAATGTGTTGGCACAACTTGTTTTTATTATTAAAAGCATATTTATTATTTATTATTATTGTTAGAAAGTCAGTTTCAAATCATTTAAACACCGTCTTTTATCTCAGAATTCAGACTTTTTTCTCGGAATTGCAATTTAAACTTGCAATTGCAAGATATAAATTCACAATTCAGATTTTTTTCTATTTTATATCACACTGTTCTGAATCTTTTTCTTTGAATTCTGAGTTTACATTTTGCATCTTTTTTTTCCACCACAGAATAAAAATTAAAAGGTAATTGTGACTTATCTCATATTTCGTACTTTTTTAAACTCATGTTTATATCTCGCAATTCTGAGTTTATATCTTGCAAATATGACTTTTTCTCACAAATGCGAGAGTGTCATCTATTTTTGGTTTTTATAAACTTTTGTAAACTATATATTTTCAGAAATGTTACAATGACGTTTGAAAATCCGATATTGATGTATACACACACACACAAACACACACACACACACACACACACACATATACATACATATATATATATATATATATATACACACACATTAAAATTGTATTTTATAAATAATAGATCATGGATAGATCATATTTAATAAATAGGCTTTTACTTTGTGAGGCTTTTACTTTTTTTTTCTTTTTTGCTGTGTTGAGGTATTTCACATACAAAAGAAGACATTCTGAAGAATGTGGGTAACCAAACAGCTGACGGTAGACATTTACTTCCATAGTAGGCTACAGAAAAAAAAATACTATGGAAGTCAATGACTATCAACTGTTTGATTACCAACATTCTTCAAAATATCTTCTTTTGTGTTAAACAGAAGAAAGAAACTCATACAGAGTTGGAACAAGTGTAGGTTGAGTATGATGGCAGGATTTTAGTGTAAAACCTAAAAAAAACAGAAAATCTCTTTTAGATCATGTAAACACTTTTTTTTTAGTCTCCCTATATGGATTAGAGAGGCAGACCCCTATCTTGTATCCTGCTTGCTTTCCTAAGCACTTTCCATTTTTTTCTGACTATAAGTTAAATGAAGTCTAGCTCACATTGGTCTGACATGAGGCGGGTGCTGCCTCCACCTCCCTCGCAAGTGCAGCCCACCCCTGATGTGTGAGCTAAACCCCCACCTCTAGTTGTCCCCACTAGGGATGGGCGATACCACTTATTTTGTTTTCGATACGATACCGATATTTTTCAAGGCAGTATCTCCTTCTGTCCTCTGATAAGCATTGTTCAGGGCTGCCATTCCCAAAAGCTTTAATGCTTTCTTAAGATACTTTTGGGAAACGCAGCCCTGTTCGAATGCACTGTCAGAAGTGAGTGAACGCTTAGTTCTGTCTTGCAACATTTGCGTGTTCAGAAGAGCTGGAAAATAGTTCTATCCTACACAATTACTTGCTAACAAAGGTTATTCGTCCAATTCAATGCATATTGTACGCATTTTTTTTTTTTTTAATTAACAAAATCACTGGTAAATAAAACACACCTTAGTATCGATATTTTTTGTTTGAGTATCGATACTCGCGTCAGTATCGATATATCGATACTTTGGATCGATACGCCCATCCCTAGTCCCCACGTTAGTACCGAGATGGATATATGAGAGACGCGTCCTGAGGGTGGACAGGCACATTACAGAGGAAAAGCTGTTGATTTCGAGGAATTTATTGATGATCTTAATTGATTCTTAAGGTCTCTATCTCCCCTTTATCTTTTGTTTCTTATCATTACTGATTTTTTTAACCGCCACCCTGAAGTTCATCGTTGTCATTCTGGCCGCCGGGATGGTGGCGTTTATCGGAGCGGTTATATGCATCATCGCCGCGGTTCACAGCGGATCTCCACCGGCATCCGCGGCCGCAGCGCAGCCCCTGGCTGACAACCATTCACTCTCACCGGGCACAACCGGGAAGGCGTTTTCTACCGGGTCCGTCGCCCGAGCAGGACCGCTGGACGCTCTTCACGGTACTGATGCGACCAGTAGGGAACGAGGAGGACCGGAGGCGCCAACCTTCTACGGTTTAACGGGACTAGGGACCGGAGGCAGCGCGCAGCAGGTCACTTACAGCAGACTCATCTGCACCCCTGTCCCCGCCGGTGAGTGCAACCCGAAAAACTTGCAGCAACAAGCGGACGACCAGTCGTTATACGCGGGAGAGGACTGGGGGTCCCTCCGCACCACCGCCGAGGAGCTCCGGCAGACCGTCCTACAGCAGAAGGATGAGATCCTCACGGATCAGAGAACCATACGGGCCCTAACGGGACAGCTTTCGGAATGCGAGAGTGGCTTGAAGGGACGGAAGGTCCCGGAACGGAGCGCGGGACTTGGGGATGCGCGAAAAGAGAATAAGGAGCAAGTCATGATGCGGGACGACGCGGGGTCCTCGATGCGGACCACTCATGTGATGGAGGAGCTGGTGCATGCCATAACTCAGATGAAAGACCGCATTGAGAAACTAGAGGTAAGGAAGGCGCGAGACCTTATAAATGCGGTATTTAACGAGGTGGTCGAGAATATGTGGGAGAGAATCAACAGTTTTATCGATAACAAATAAGAGATGCTAAAATTGGGAAATCTATTGTGTTTGCAATCATGTCAGTTTCACATTTTTTAAAACATTTAGCCTATACCATTTATTCTAAAAAATAAATACATTAAAAAACATTCAGTTAAAAACATTTAAGGTAAAATATTTGTGAATTGTTATATTAATAATGTAATTTTTTCAAAGTCATGAATAAGATTTTCCTACAGTTGCTCTATTTGTCCTTAATCGTGCTTTTTAAATGTCAAAATATGTAAATTTGTTTTATAAAATGATAGTCACGTGACAACAAAATGGCCCCCTGCGTGTTTGTTACGTCACACTCTTTTATTTGACGAATAAGATTTTTTTTCATATGAAAAAAGTTTTCTAGCCTATATATAGATAATGTATTCTAACAAAATTCCTTTTTTTTTTTTTACAATTTATTTTTTAAAGAACAAATCATTTAATGAGACTTCTTTTAATGATACTTTCTTTGTTTCTCAAAGAGAGTTCTTTGTGGAACCAAAAATGGTTCTTCTATGGCATGGCTGTGAAGAACCTTTTGAAGCACCTTTATTTTTAAGAGTGCAGGCGCGCGATCGTACGTGAGCTGAAATGCAAACTACTCACAGGAGAGATGAAGGTTACACTTTACTTCCAGGGGTGTGCATAAGACTGACATGACACCTACATAATCATGACATGACACCAGGTGTCATGTCAGTCTTATGCACACCCCTTCAAGTAAAGTGTTACCCGACTTTCTGTGTTTCTTTTTTTTTCTAAACACAAAAGAAGATATTTTGACACCAAACAGTTGCTGGTTCCCATTGACTTCCATAGTATGGAAAAAATACTATGGAAGACAATAGGGACCAGAAACTGTTTGGTTACCAACATTTTTCAAAATTTCTTCTTTTGTATTCAGCAGAAGAAAAAACTAAACAGGTTTGGAACCCCTTGAGTAAATGATGACAGAATTTGCATTTTGGGTGAAATATCTCTTTCAACATCCAGCCTGATATGATGCATCATGAAATCTTAAATTTGAGGAGGGTTTGGTTTATTGCAGTATATTGCATGATGCATAACAGTTACACCTGAAAATAGGTTAATAATTGTATTTTGAGAAATAAAAGCTTGTATTTATGTGTATAAAAATGAATTAATGTGATTCGTATGTCACTATGCACATGACAGGAACATCAAATAGTCAAAATATTGATTTTACATGCTATTAAAGTTAAATGTCATATGATTACTGTCTTGTTTACAGTCTGAAATGGCACCACCAGCGTTCAATCACACAGACACAAGCTCACAGAAAGCAGCAGGTGCTACTCGTATGCCAATGGCAGCTGCGCAGAGAAGAGTGGAGGATCTGGAAGGAGAACTGAAGAGAAAGATAAAACTGCTGGAGGAGGAGAGGAAAGCACTGCGGAAAGAGACACAGAAACATCAAGAGCATATTGAGTACGGGCTGGACACTGTACACCAGCGGATAAGCAGCCTGGAGAAAGGTGAGGCAGAGGTTGGATTTACTGCTGGAAGAAATATTGATTAAAAAGACTGATTTTACCAAGAGCTTCTTAAAGTGATAGTTCAACCAAAAATGACAACTGTGTCAGTGTTTACTCACCCTTATGTTTTGTTCCAAAACTATGACTTTCTTCTTTCTCCTGTGGAATATAAAGGAACATATTTTAAGTGTTGAGTGCCGCAGTGTTTTTAGTTTGTATTTATTTATTAATTTATTTATTGGTCAGTACAATGGCAGTCAGTGGGCTCCATTGTGGTTTGGCTCCCAGCATTCTCTAAAATATCTACTTTACAGTTTTGAAACAACATGACACTAAGTAAATGATGAGAGAATTTCATTTTGCGGTTGGACAAAGGAATGTATAATATAAATGAATTATAATAATTAATTAAAGGAATGTTCTGAGTTCAAAACAAGTTAAAGGGATAGTTCACCCAAAAATGAAAATTTGATGTTTATCTGCTTACCCCCAGGGCATCCAAGATGTAGGTGACTTTGTTTCTTCAGTAGAACACAAACGAAGATTTTTTACTCAAACCGTTGCAGTCTGTCAGTCATATAATGGAAGTGAAT